TGCCCCGGGCCCCCTTTCACCTCCACTGGGGTCTTTACGGAAGAGGCACGGTTGTCACCACAACCCCATTACAGCTGCAGAGGCCAAGTCTCAGGGCCAGGCGAGTGTCCAGGGCCACTCCAGGTCAAGGCCTCCATGAGCCCGGGGTGCCGGCAGCCATCACTGTTCCTGGGCCCTTGGCTGGGTCCCCAGTTTCCTCCGTCCTGTCGTGTTCAGCAGGTGGTTCTTACCCAGAAGTTTGCTCTTGGCCTTTGAGTTCCTGCAGGTGCCCAGCACATATAGGGAGGGTGGACGGGGCCTGCCAACCACTCTTGCTGGCGATGCCTGCTGCCTCCCTGCCCGCGAGGGTTGCACTGGGGTCCTCAGCCTGTGAGGACGGCGCTCCCTGTGGGACACCCTGTTCCCGTGGCTTCCCTCCCCTCCTGACTCCCCTGAAGATGAGACGGATCGGGAGCCTGTGCCCCCGACTTTAGGGTGACCCTCCTCGTGGTGAAAGAGTCAGGCCCTGTGTGGCTGCTCCACCGAGGGCCGTGCATGTGATGGGGCAAATTCCCAGAAGCCCTTGCTCACCTGTGTGACACCCCTTCCCTCCTTCTCCCAGTGGCCTCGAAGGCAGGAGGGAAAGTGGCCCACTCTCAATGTCAGGCAAGGGGGCGGAGCCTCGGAGAAAGGGCAGGATTGCAAGTGCATGAGCTTCCCTGACCCTCAGTCCACTGCTTCAGGACCCATCGGACTTGCTGGCCCAACTCCGGCTTGCTGATGGTGCTGCGTCAGGAGTGGCCACCAGAGTCTGGTTTTAACTGGCACTTCCACAGTTGTGCCATTTGTCCCAGTTCGCTAAGAATCATCTGTGTCAGTTAGCTCTCCGTTCCTGTGACAAAGTACCTGAGAAGATCAACTTCAGACGAGGAACGGCTCATTTTGGCCGAGTGTGTGAGAGGTTTTAGGCCACGGTTGCTTGGCCCTGTCGCTTTGTGTGTAGGAAAAAATGGTGTAGGTGGGTGGCAGAGGAGGCTGCTTACCCAATGGCAGCTGGTAAACAGAGAAGGGAAAGGGCCAGGGGTCCAACATGGGCGTGCCCTCAGTGACCTCAGCGGCTTAAGGTCCCATGGCCTCCAATAGCATCACCCTGAGGACTGAGCCTCTACCAAATGGCCTCTGGGTGATGCAGGGACCCAACCATAGCAGTACGAGAACACCGCCCTGGACAAAGGCCAGATTCTGCCAGTGGCTCGGGTTGGCATCACCTGGGTGTTGTAGTACGAGATTGTGCCACTCAGGATGTTCAGATGCAGGAAGGAGCCACTGCCTCGTCCCTCTTCCTGCTGCTGCTTTTCATTGGCCACCTGAGCTTCCCCTCCCCAAGGTGGCTCCAGCCCATGCACAGGTCTGTGGGCCGCTTGCCACCATGACCCTGTGTGAAGAAAGGGTCCCTTCTTCCTGGTTTCTGTGTGTGGCTTTTCCCACGCTGGCCTCCACTGATCTGCCTCCTGTCTTCTCTGGCTTCCTGAGATGTCTCTTAGGAAGCAGTATGTCCCCAGCTGGTCCCTCGGCCAGCCTCCCAGGCCCGTGTGCTCCTCTCATATGACACAGCAGTGACTTGTGGACCTGCTCTCTGCAGTCTGGCCTCTAGCTCAGCTGGACAGGGCCTTCATCCTGGAGCCCAGTGACGGCCTCCAGCAGAGAGCCGTGCCTGGGTGACTGCACGTAAGCTCGGTTCAAGTGGGTTTGGCTTGTGAGCCAAGGGGGATGAAGAGGCTTTGTTCTTGGCTGGGGGTATGGGGGAGGCGAGGCCTCTGGGGCACAGAAGCCAGGTGACTCAGGACATGCACAGAGCACCAGTGAGTGGAGAACCTGGCGGCTCATGGGGCCGGTGCGGGCAGCCAGCTGTGTCCCCTGTGCCGCTTCAGCTGGGGGCTCTGGAGTTGGGAACCCTTTCCTGAAACCCCAGAAGATCAGGCTTTGGGGTGGAGACGAGCTCTTCCGGGAAGGCTGGGGTCTGCTTCCCTCCTCTGGTCTGACCTGGCTGCCTTCCCGATATCATTCACGCCCCCCAAGTGGCCAGGTCCGGGCAGGGCCACCATGCTGTCCTAGAAGTCTGGCTCCTGGGAGTCGCCTCCTCCCCAGGGCAAGTGAGGGGCATGGGCTGTCTGTTCAGGCCCACTGTCGAGGAGCTGCCTGCTTTGAGAATCCCACAGACACAAACACATCAGCTTTGCTCTGTGTTCCAGGGAACTGTCCCCATGTCTCCTGTAAGTTATCTCATGGCACGGTCCCCGAGCGGGCCTCTTCTGCCCGCGGCAACAGGAAGTTCAGCTGTGTTGCAATGTGGAGAGTGTTTTGACCCGTTTCTTAACGGGCTTGATTTTGTTATAGTCTTTGGTTTGGCTTACACCCAGACATTGATTAAGAGAGACAAAGGCAATGTCTTTGATCCCATATTTGACCCATGTTCTTCCAACACACGGCTGCTGGCGTCCACAGAGGCAGCTGGGCTGGGCCTGTACCTTCCTCACACCTGCTGCCCTCACACCTGTGCAAACAGCTTGCTCTGGGAAAGCAAGAACCGGGAATTCCCTGGAATCCAGGTGGGCTTTCCAAAGTTAAAGTTGCTCAAGGCCCAATTGATTTCATTGTAAACCTGGCCAAGTGCTTTCCATCCTGAGTCACTTTGAAGACCCTCAATGAAGTTCTTTCAACAAACAGTGAATTCTATAGAAGGAGAATATTTTATTTTTTAGTTTTTGTAGTAGGTTCTGTTTATTAAAGAACACAACTTAGTTTTAGTAGTTTATTTTTTCATGCACCCTCTCCCTAGAATTTAATTGATGTTAAGATGGGAAGGGAAAAACACGTGCATAGTGTGTGTGATCCTGTTCTGTGAAAGGACACCCCCGCTGTCAGTTAGGCCCCACCACAGCACCCAGCATTGTGCTCCAATTCCAAACACTCGAATGCGAGACTTTTTCTTAAGACAAAAACAGAGGTGTTCTTTCTCCAAGGAGAGGATGGTAATTACAGTCTCACCTAAGTCCTCAGCATTTCCTCACTTAGCGTTTCAGGAAGTGTGAATAGACCACCGCAGAAACCTGGAAATCAATGGGATTTGGGCAATTCCCTCTTCCATCTCAGGCAGGCGCTGTCTCTGGGTGGTTCTGCTCCCAGTCGGGGCACCTGGGCTGGGCTGCTGCTCCCCGGGACCCTCCCTGTTCCTGTTCTCTCGAGGTGTAGAGCAGTGCTACTCTGGGCAGGCAGGGCCTTGGGGACTGGTCTGCGGAGGAGCCCCCCTGCTGCTGGAGTGCCCACAGACCTCCTGCCCTGGGGTGAGCGTCCCAAGATGCAGTACCCAGGCCATCACCTCCGAGCACCTGCCGGTCACACTACCTGCCCCCAGGGAAGCCGTCCCCGCCAGAAGGCAGTGATCTGTCCCCTGGCTACCAGCTGCTTCTGGTTGGAATAAGCGTGAGTCGTTCTAGCAGATGGTGGTATCTCAGGAAAAGTTAGCGCCTGATGCTTGAAGCTGGACTCTCTGGAAACTAGGTCTCCCCTGTGGAGGGGAAGGTCCAGCCTGGTCCAGTGTCTCCCCAGTTGCTGGTCCAAGCCTCTACCCCAAACCCAGGAAATGGCCACTGAAGAGATGTCTCCCGAGCTCCATAAGGGGCATGCTTAGGTGCCTTTAGCCACAACACATGTGCTGCCCTTCTTGCGTGCCATAGCTCCCCAGTGGGTATCTTGTTTGTCCCGTGGCTCCAATTCCTGTTTTAGCATTTGGTAATCTCCCAGAGTGACCCTGGATGCTCAGCCTCCAGCAGGAGTCCCACTAGCTTTCCAAGGAGGGGAACTTCGTGAACTGGAGAATTTGCTTTTCCTCTTACTGACAGGGAGCAAGACCAAGGGACCCCGGCGTTTGCTAAATCCTGATTCTGTGTTCCTTTCGGTGTAGATGAGGAGTGTGGGTGGTCACTTTTACCAGAGCTCTCTGCCTCCACTGATAGGGCAGACTGAGCCAAAGTGCCAAAAACCCTGCTTGCACATATGATGCTCGGGAGGCCCACACACCACCTGGTCACCAGGTGACCACAGCTCTGTGCTCTATTCTGTCTTTGAACACTGCTTAAGGTTTTCCTTTGAGCATTGCTAACATTCCACAGGCCAGAGACGATACCTGGTGGCCGCTGATGTTGCATGGCCCAGGCTCGGGACAGTTCCATTTGTCATCTACAGACACCTACCGTGTGGTCCACGAGGTGTCTTATGTTGTCTGGCATGAAGTAGGACCAGACTGGGTGGGAAGGGTTGGGTAGGACGTCCAAGGAGAACAGGCAGAGGCCAGCAGGGGCTGCAGCCGAGTCTTCCCTGGGTATGCCGAGGACCCGGGTGGGAGGCGGCCCCCTCGGTCCCCTTCCTCAGTGTGCTGCCCTTCATGCAGCAGGGGAGGGGAGAGCATGCAGGTCCCAAGTCATAGCCACAGAAACACCAGCTCCCTGAGGGGCACCAGGTCTCATCATCTCAGTGTTCCAAAGGGGAACACTCACAGATTCTGGGAACGCAGGTGAAGCTGTGCAGGCCAGTTGAAGGAGGAAGGATGACCTTCCAATTCCTAACAGTGCAGGTCCCCAACACGTGGGACTTCCAGAAGAATGAGCAGCACGGTCGGTTCTGAAGGAAGCTGAAAAGTGGGTGTGCCAGTCGGAAGAAAGCCCTGCTGCTCAGACTAGAGCAGAACACGGCGAGTCCCCTTGCAGAGCCAAAGCAGGTGCGCAGGCCATTTTGGATCAGATGTCAACTGTGGGCTCAGGGAATTAGAGTAGGGCTGTTGAGACAGATGGTGGCTTCGACATTTAAAGAGGTTCCCGGGACATTTCTGTGGGTGGTGGGCACTGAGCGGTGGTACCCCTTGGTATTTCATTCCTTGACCTTCTGTGGCCCGAGGCGACCTGTTTCCTGCTGCCTGACAGAGCAGAGCAGTTATATCTTGCTTTTTTTTTTCCTCCCCAAAGTTTTTGAGAGTCGATCAAGATAAAGACAGAGATTGCAGCCTGGACTGTGCGGGCTCTGCTCAGAAACCCCTCTGTGCGTCGGATGGACGGACCTTCTTATCCCGCTGCGAGTTCCAGCGTGCCAAATGCAAAGACCCTCAGCTGGAAATTGCTTACCGGGGAAACTGCAAAGGTAAGCCCCCTTGATGGTCCGTGTATAGACCGTGGAGCTGTCGTTAGAACACGTGCCTGTGTTGCTTACTCTCACATCTGCTAAAAGTTTATATTGAAAGGCTAAAGAATTTTTTGTTTATAGTTTTTTTGAGCATGTGAAGGGTGAAGAGTGATTCTGTGAATTTCAAAGTAGAGTCATTTGAAAATTACTTAATGCTTTTCTTCTTAAAGTGTTCTGTGCTGTCATGAAACAAATCTATCCAAGTGTTTTATAGACTTCCCTGATGTCCCTCACCCAAGTTCATTGTTGGGTATTTCACTCTTCCTGGGTGTTCTCAGGTGGGTGCTCAATAGCACCTGTGTGGTTCCTCGCAGGTGTTAGTGCTGATTTTACTCCTGTGACATTCACTCTTCTTGACCTGGGATCTCATCTAGAGCTAACACTCCTGCCTAGAGCAGCACGTTGAAATGCTGCCCACGTTAATGAAGGGTTTGATGCAGGGAAAGATACTGGTGTTTCAAACACAAACAGAATCGCTGCACAAAGAGATCTGCCTCCTTTTTCTTTTTCTCTGGGAAACAAGACCACACAGGCTGGAGCAGCCTCTGGGTGGTGTTCGGGTCGCTTGGGGATTAGCCCCCGCAGTCCTCCTAGCTGAATAAAGCTCAGCCAGGGGCACAATGTCGGGCGTAGTTGACCAGGTTTGGAAAGCACTCGCTCCTCCTTTCATAAAGCAGCACACCAGGCCGATGGATCGGTGCTGCTGTTCCAGACTAAGGCAGAATGTTGCCACCTTCTTTATCCCTGAGAGCCCTCCCTATGGTCCAGACTCAGAGTAGTGGCTCCCAACAGAGGGGCGGCCAGCATGCCCTCTGGAGCCTGACCTCGGCACAGTGGCATACCTTCACTCTGTACACGTTGGTGTGTCCTGTCTGAAGACACTCGATCTGGAGCCTGGACTTCCTCTTAGCATGTGCATGTGGCTCTGCCCATGACTGATGGTTACACATTATCAAGGACATTTTCTGTTGTCATGGTTTGTTCAAAGTTATTCTTTGGGACATGTGGCATTTAAAGGCTACAGAAAGGCTTGATCCATGTAGCTAGGCAGGTAGATCTTCCAGGAAGAGTCCTGGGAAGGTCCTTCTACTCGTGAGGGTATATGAGAGAATGATACTCCTGAGACCAGAGTCCACGGTAGGTGCTTTTCCTGAAATGTTAACAGACTCGTGTTTTGTCCTCTTGTGCTAAGAGAGCTATGACAATCCAGGCAGAAGCCAATCTGAGGGTCCTATCACCAGGAGCAACAGGTGGGGTTGGGAGAGAAGGTGGAGCCAGGTTGTGGCAGACGTGGTTGGATGAAAATCCTGGCTGAGTACCCACACCGCCTTGCCCCTATGCACCTACACTACACCTTCAGCCAGGTGTTCCCAGGCTGCAGATGGACTAGTACCATCAAGGTCAGTCTGAGTTTGCTAAATCAGGATGTGCTTCTGAAGGGAAGAGACCAGCCACTTTCAAATGGGAACTGTAATCTGGATTCACTCATTAACCTCAATATGCTCTTGGGTTTGCAAAGAAAAAAATGTAATAAAGAAAGAATTTTATTTATACTTTTAATCAGCATGCTACAGGGGAAGGTAGGAGAGGCCCAGGACTGGCCATTCCTGAACACCTGGGGACTGACCACACCTGAATACCTGGGGACTGGCCATACCTGAGCACCTGGGGACCGGCCATACCTGAGCGCCTGGGGACTGGCCATACCTGAACGCCTGGGGCTGCTGGAGGTGGCCAGCCCCTCAGTTCACGGGAGGACTCCAGAGCTCAGTGTGCCCCAGGGAGCCAGGCACCGGGGTCCACACCTCTCTGAAGCAGGTGACTCTTGCTGAGAACCATCTCCTAGGCCTGAGGTAGCTCTAAAGGGTTGGACAGAGCTGGGGGCTGAAGGCAGAGGTCGGCTGGCTTTGCAAACCACCTCTGTACAGAGAGACAGTTCCCCGGGCAGGGCATGTTCTTCAGACTGCAGCCCAGATAGACAAAAGCTGCCCCCTGAAGAACGTGTTGAAGGGAAAGAACTATCATTTTTATTGTACAAAGCAAATACTGTTCTCAAATTAAAATTTTAGCAGGGAAAATAGTTTTAAAATGTTAAAATACAGTTAGGAAATACTTTCTTTAGAAAATATCTATAAAAATGAAGATGAACATAATACAAATTAAAGCATTGAAATTATTCTATCCAATTACATATGGCTATCTACAACAAAATAATTGGAAATTTGATTTTAGAAGTTGCAGTCCGTGCTCTGACTTCCTTGGTGGTGGTGGGGGAAGTGGGTCATACCATATAAGATAAATGACTTTTGGCAAATGCCAAATTACTTTTTCTCCCTAAGCATCCATTCTGACCCACAGAAATGAGCAGAACATAACTTATTAAATGTCATCTACCTGAAGTTCCAGATTCCCTATCAGTATTTTGTCCTCGTGACATTCTTCTTGGTGGGCATTGAGTTTCGGCATTCTGTTTTCCATCTCTTTGGTGGCATCGCGGATGAAGAGCCACACATGTGTCTCCTGCCCACTGAGGAGGGTGCTCTGCGGGCAGCTCAGCTCTCTGGGTCTAGCATCATGTTGTTGGCTCAACCTGGGCTCCTTCAGCAGGTTCTGAGAAGGCACTTGGTAGGAACAAACCCACCAGCTCATCTTCTGCCTAAGGACCAGCCCCTGCAGAGAAGCAGCGTCGCTCTCCAGCAGGAAACCCCAGGAGTCTTTTCCTCTCCCTCTGTTGGGCCTCTGTGGTCCTTGGGGAGAGGGCCCTCTAAACATCAGACTTTCACGCAACATCTTAGAGGCCGGGAGCTAACTGGCCTCCTCCGAGGAGCTCACAGTGGTCTTCAGTGGTGTTTTCTGTTGGATCCCAGATGTCCACACCACCCAACCTGTCCCCAGACCGTCTCTGGAGGTGGGGTGCTGGGCCCATGGTGGCAGGACACCGTGCACGCCTCAGGGACAGGCACGCGGCCTGTGTGGGTGTGCTGAGGGCTGCTTTGCTATTTAATGCCCAGTGGCACCTGCGTTTCTGGGGCTGTCAACACTGGACCTCCGGAACCTTGACCCACCTGGCTTCCTACAGCTGATGGGTGCAGAAAAACTGCTTATTTCTCTATTGACAAAGAATAAGGCTGCCTATTTATTTAGAAAGATAATGTTCATTTAAGGAGTGTTTTTCAAATGGCAGGACACACGCCCACCAATAATGGGCTTCACTCCACCTTCTGCTTCTCCAACCACAGACCCCTTCCCTCTGAGAGATCTCACACCCTTACTGAGAAGGACTGTGGTTCTGCATGATTGTCCTTGGGTTTGGGTGCTTCCCCTCAGGAGCAGTGTGGCCCTGGGTGTAGAAATCAGAGTGAGGTGCGTCCATCCACACAGGGCACTCTCCTGTCCCCCTCGTGTTTGAGTCCTGTGTGCCCAACCTGTGATGAAGACTCAGGTGTGATTCTGTGCCATGGCTGCCCTCCCCTCCACCCTGTGCTGCAGAAGGTGGCGATTTAAGGGTGAATGTGAGACCAGAGACGCTCCTGGAAGCCTTGGCTCGTGAGAACGGGTGCTGAGGGCATGGTGGGGCCTCGCCATCTGTCAGGATGGCTGGGTGTGTTCCCCTTTGCCACGTTCCTGGAGAGAACCCCAGGCAGACGTCCTGCTGAAGGGCTGTGTGGGGGCCGTCGGGGCAGCTGGTGCTGGCTGTGGCCTCTCAGGACGGGAGTCTGAGGGCCTCTGATAGAGGCCAGAATCTTCCTCAAGAGGAAGGGTGGACTCTCGCTCCCCAGGGCCTGGTTTCCTGGGTGGTGCCTCTGGCCCTTGGTTTGCAATACCCTGAAGGGTGGAGTCACTCTTTCTGTCGGGAGATTTTCGACGTGGGTGTCCCTCGCAGCCTGGTGTTGGCTTCCTGGCACCTGTCCCCGGCCTGCCTTCCTGGATAGCTGCCTCTGTTGCCATTTTCATTCACTTCATGGAAGAAATTCAATGCTGTAAACTTGTGACCCAAAATGGTGATGGAAATGGACAAGCAAAGCAGAGGTACCCCCCAGCAGGCTCATCAGCCAAAGGGATGTGATGAGGACAGCGCCCAGGCGGCTGCAGATCCCCAGACCTGCTTCCTAGGTGCGGCAGCCACCTGGTAGCCAGGCAGGACTTGCTCAAAGAGAGGGCCAGCTGCGCATCACACCCCGAAAGACAGCCAGCTCCATGCTGGGGCTGCCCTGGACAGGGCTTGGTGTCAGGGTGGGTCCCTTGCGGGGTCTCGGTCTCAGGGAGCAGGACCTTGGTATGGGGGGATCCCTTCCCACAGGCTGCTCTGCAGTGCCCAGCCTTTCCCACATGCTCTTGGAGGCCAGCACTGACGGACCTGCACTGCCCGGCCGTGGGAGGGTGACCCTGAGCCCTGGGTCTCGAGGCCAGGCAGGGTCTTGGCTCCATCCTCTCAGAGCTTAGAGGCTGCACATTGTACAAGACCCAGTTAAGCTTCCCTTCCTGGAGGTGGAGCAGGGGGCAGCTTCCTCTGTCCCCCAGCCTCCCTTGAGGCAGTAGGAGTAGCCGCCCTGCCTTTGACGGAGCTACTGCTGGTGCCCCCAGAAAGCCCAAAGCTGCTGCTGATGTCAGTATTTTGAGGGCACTTTCACATTTTTGGTGGGTGACAGTTCTGCGGGCTTGTCTCTTTTAGATGTCCTAGTTTGGAAGCAACAATTAAAATACTTGAGTCCCCATTTGATGTGATGGGGTTAGTGTTTCTGCATCTCATATCATGATCTAACCAGTGACCTGGACTAGAGTGGCAGTGGGTTACAGGGTGGATTTTTCTCACATTTTCATAGAAATTTGTGGAACTTGTTTCTTCAGAACTCAGCAAACACATTAATATTTTTCTTTTGATCTGAGACCAGTGGAACTTTCTTCTTAATGAAATTTCTGGCATTTAATTAAAAAGGCAAAAAAGAAAAAAAACAGGG